ACATCATGCTTAGCAGAAGAAAATGCTGAACTTACAAGGATTTAATTTTATTTGAACCTACAATAACACCCACGGAAGTGGCAGTCCAAAAAAGGCAATGCACTGGGAAATCTACTTCAAAAGACCACACTGAAAAAGCATTAAAAGGCAAATATATCACTTTAAGGACTGAGTGCACTTGACCAAAGCCACAACATTATAATCAGCCTCATATGCATGTGAGAGCTGGACCACAAATAAGGAAGACTGAAGAAAAACTGATGCCTTTGAGTTATGGTACTGGGGCAGGATACTAAATCACCATGAATGAACAACTCTTATCTTGGAAACACTACAGCCAGAATGCTCTTAGAATGAGTATGGTGAGACTGTCTCAGTACTTTAACATGTGATCCTGAAGAGCAGCATCTTACCTGGTCAAGTAAGAAGAAAAGGAAGACCCTCAGGAGATGGACTGTCAGCGACTGCAATGATGGTGATGGCCTCTAACATGGCAATGACTGCGAAGATGGTGTGATACTGGTCAAGAATTCTTTCTGTTGTACATGGAGTTGCCATGAGCTGGAACTGACTCAATGGCACCTAACAGTAACATCTAATTAAGACTCTGGATTCTTGCCAAGTAAGCATTCCAGAATTCTCTGGCCATCTACCCAGAAATCAAGACTAATATTTTATCCATCAAAGTGCATATAGCTATATAACTGACAATGGCTAGAACCTAATATTTTAAGTTGTTGTTGTTGTTCTTCTGTACCGTGGAGTCAGAACCGATGCACAGCTGACCCTCCAGTGGGTTTTCAGAGGCTGTGAATCACACAAAAGGAGACTGCCTATCTTTCTCCCACAGAGCAGCTGGTGGATTCAAACCGCCTTTGGGTGGGCAGCAAAATTCCTTACCAGTAGGCCACGAAAGATTCCTGAATGTGCTCACTACAAAACACACTGTTGGAATATGGACCAGAATAATTAAATATTTCTAGGCCCAAAATAGCTATTCATTAAAGTACAGCCGTATGAAGGAATATTTTCATTATATTTGAAGCACTGTAAATCTGAAACAAAAGAAATAAAGTCCTATTTCCCTTCAGCCTTGTAAGAACAAAAGGAACTAATTATTTTCATCTCTTAAGGGTAGAGGAAAACAGCCTTTAACCCTAAAGACGGTTTTAGTAAAACAATCCCCCAAAATTTTTGCTTTCATTGCATGGAAACCAGCAATTAAAATTTAATTTAAAAAAAACCAACTTATGGTTTATATTCTTTGGACTTTACCACTCATCAGGGAAACAGATGCCTATATATTTGTTTTAGGTTTTTATTAAATATTGTGCCAACACAGTATAACACAAATTCAAGACAGGCCTCAAACCTCATTTCCTCTATCTCTGCAAATAAACTTCATACTTTAAAACAAGCCCAATATAAAGAGCTCACAGTTCCTATTACAGCATGAAACGATTTTAAATTATTTTGTATCTTGTGGGCTTTTCCAACAACAAACTGAATTGATTTTCAAGATAGAAAGTGAGGTTTATTAAAGTTACTATGAATATTCTATATTTATTTGTCAAAACCGAATGTTGTTGTTGTTAAGTGCCATTGAGTCGTAGGCAACTCATAGGGACCCTATGAACAAAAGTCCTCAACACTTGCATGACTTTCATCCTTTCTCCAGGTTCATAGGCTTTCTGGAGGCAAGCTATTTCAGAAGTGGATGCCACTCCTGCTTCCAAGCTTGTTTCAACAGGGAGCGCCACCAAACACTGACCACCATGGGTAACCGTTATAGCATTTGACACATCAGTGTCACAGTGTTCAGCTTCACAGCAACCACAAGTTATTTCTGTACAGCAACTGGATACACCAGGGCTATAAGACCTAGAAGATTGTTTGAATAAGAACAATGAATAGAACGTATGAATTTGAGTTAGAAACTTAAGTAGAACCAAGGTAATATTCACATCTTTCCAAACAAAGAGCAAACTGCCAGAAGCTGCAATTAGAAATGCTGGTACTCAGAGGGTGGCCTAACTAATGATCAGCCTTCCCCATATTCATTTATGCTCTAATCTCCACCAGAACTCAAACCATTTAAATTTTTCAAATTACTGAACCAAGATTATCAGGAGAACAAAAAGGTTACAAAAGGTTTAATTTTAAGTGTAAATACTTGGCTTCTGTTCAATCTGGGATGTCAGGGCAAGTCTCATTAAGGCAGCCCAACCCAGAACATCAAGGTCCACTCCCTTCTGTCTACCCTGAGCCACAGAAGCAAGTCTGAAAGCAGCCAGCTTCCCCTAGGGCAAAAGCTTCACCTGTGCAGCCTGTGGCGTTATTACAGAGGTCTTTGAAGGTCCAGAGTAGATCATTATGTCCCATATATAGGTTCTACACATTTTCAAATATACATAATTTTGGCAACAGAATTTTATCTATTAAATGTTAACGTGTTTTTCTTCTTGTTATGTGCTATCAAATCAGCCCTTCAGAGGTTGTAAATAAAAAAAGGAAGATGACGACTGCCCATTTTACTCCCTTGGAGCAGCTGGTAGATTTCAATCACCTGCCTTAAGGTTGGCAGAACAACTCCTTATCCAATAGAGTTCCTGATTTTATTATTAAAATTCTTATTTTCTGTCATTGTACATTTGCTCAGTCAGGGCACCCAAAACATGCAGCTACCTGAGAAATCTATTAACGTGGAAATGGCATCTTAAAAATCCTTCTAGTTAATAATAGTACAAAGAAAGGATTAGAAGAGGAAATGAAAAGAAAAAGCTAGAACTTAATTACAGGCCAAAGCATAATCAAGAGCCACAGTGATGAAAGAGTTAATACTTACCATTTAAAGCTATCTCTACTGTCAAATAATTCATTATTTAATATATACTTGTTTCTGTGCCAAGAAAGTAACATGGAAACATCTTAGACTCCTTATCTTTTCACAGCATAAAGCAAAGAATTTTTTAAAGGTTTAGAATAAAAGCACAGTTACATGTTTAATGTTTTAGAATAATCTTTGCTGGCTATACTTTGGAAACCATTTACAGAGGGTCTAAAAAAATAGATAAAAGGCAAGGGACAAATTCTGTTTGAATGGTTTTGGGGGTTATTTTTTTTAAACTAGTTATGTAAACCTTTGTTTTGTACATACAGTTTTGGGGTTGCTCCAAACTCTGTTCCTGAAAGGACTGCCTCAAATAGATAAAATTAGAATAGGACTATGAATCCTGTCATTGCAATTCGTTCAATGATAGTGTATTGGGTTTGGGTTATGTGTCTAAGATTTAAGAGAAGCAGAAACATACATCAAATAGAGCGTGGGGAGAAATACAACTTGTAATGAGAAGCTGCACTCCAATCCCAAAGGTATGAGATCTGAATCCAGCAGCTATTTCATGAGAGAAGGATGGGCAATCAGTGTGATTAACCGCTCTGAAAACCTACTTGAGGGTCAACTATGGGTTCGTTCCAACTCTATGGCGCATGACGACGTGAAATGAAAAGGAAACTCAGGTGTTAGTAATATAATATTAGTTGTAATGCTAACACACAAAGCATGCAAAATTATAATAGGTGCTTGATGATTACTTAGTCCCTAGAAGATACTGGGGAAGATGGGGTGGTAGGCAAAGAACAATTTATCCATAAGATAAGTAATGGAAAAGAGAAATTCACAACCATTTTTCTGACACACCTTTTAAGGCCCGAATTCAGACCAGAATCTGGACTCCTAAGTCTAAAATATATTTATTCACAGAATTGTTGGTACAATGATGTTTACTAATTTGGCTTTTTATTTATGTTTTCTAAATGCACTATAACCAGCCTCTATAACTCAGTCTTACTTTGCTTTCATGTTTCTACATTTGCCTTGTTTATGTAGACACAGAAAGTGCCTTAGGAATCAATCATTGTAAACATGCTTTACAGCTTTAATACATTACTGAAATATGGCATCTCTCCTCCTGCTCCCCCAGAATGTCTTGCACTGAACTCATTATCAATGTCTTACCCACTCCCAAGGAAGTGCCTTTTACTGACCACTTGTGACCAGCATAAACCATCTAACTACTACTATTTAATTAAAAATATGCTCCATACCTAATAATGACCAGCAGTTTATGTGTCGAAAGTCAAAATTCCCCGCTAACAAAAGAGGTGGTTTTCTATCCCCTCCTTTTACTTAATACAGTTATCAGTGATGCAGACAACCTCAGCTGACTCTTGACTACCTGTCCTTGGACAAGAGATACTCCCGACACCAGGACCCTGCTAAGTGCACAGTGTTTTAACTGTTATTGACCAAGGGATGCCCAAACCCCTCTTTATATTTATCTATATTGAGGGGCCCTCTTTACACAAAATTCTGACTGAACCTGGCCATTTTTAAACTACCTCCCTCCTTTCACAAGAAAACTGGGGCTGAGGAAGATGCGGCTTGTCCAACGACACAGGATCTAGACACCAGTAGCGATTAAAACCTCACCTCGTAATTTTCCCTGCGAGTATCAGGCAATGTTTTTTGTGCTTCAGTAGCTCTGCAAGGTACTTACTGTAAATAATAGAGGATGAAAGGAAATGTTTGTGATTGCAAATGTGTGTGGGAGAAGAAAAACGCACCATGTGCCGGCTACATGGGTAATTAATCTGCCTATCTGTCCTTGTGGAGAAGAGATAAATGAGGTGGAAAGTTGGGCTGGGATTTTTTTCACTGCTACCTTAGTGGGGACTGTGTAGAGAGTTACTGGGGCCCAGATGGGCTAGTACTATCTAGAACTCCGAGAGGGCCCCAGAAGGTGTAGAGCGTGATGCAGTGAAGAAGTGCGATGTGGGGGATTTCTGACAGCAAAGGGCCCAGGTGTCTTACACGTATGTGTTCACCTGGCCAGGCGGACGATGTCAAGTTCCTCCCGCTGGCGCACAAGTGGCCAAGTCCCTGTCACAGGGCTGTCTGGCGCAGGGAGCTGTCGCCTCCCCCTTTTTTCCGGGGATGTTTACCCCAAGGGCGCAGGTGGGGCTGGGCCGGGCTGGGCCGGGCAGGGCCTGGGCACAGGGCCCACCCCCCAAACCCGCGGCAGCTGCGGGCGCGCAGCGAGGGCTCCCCGGCCAGCGCCTTTGTTTTCCCGACTCCAATTACGTTTGCGGAAGTGCTGCCTCCCAGGGTGCGCCGGCGACAGCCTCCCCAGCACCCCACCAAGATGACAAGCAGCATAGAAGCTGGGGGGCGGGCGAGGGGGGCGGGGAGCGGGGCCACCCCCGGCCGCCCTCGCCGGGCCCCGCTCCGGGGCCCCCTCCCCTGACAGCAGGTGTGCACGCAGGAGGTGGGCTCCCCGCCCCCGCTGGCTCCTTCGGCTGCCTCGCCGGCCGGGGTGGAGCTCCCCGGCCGCCCCCACGCGCCCCCTCCGGCGCGCCAGGCCCCCGCTCACCTGCTGCTGACGGCGGCGCTCAGCTG